AAAATATTTCAGTGAAAGAAAATTTGTAAAAATTGTTCTTTGAAGGGTCTTGAAAAAAAAAGACCTCGGAAAAAGACAGAGAAAGACCTGCTGTCCTGCTGATGAGGTTGCAGAAAAGGCTGATGAACCAATTGGCCATCAACTCATAAGCAATCTGTATGTGTATTAAAATGGACAAAAGAGTGCAAGAATACATGCTAAGGACAATACTCCAAACTTTGAACCAAGTGCAGATTTGTGGGATGGTATGTTTTAAGAATCAGTCCAGAAGTGAACTGTTTTTAGGCAGCCTTACTGCACGCATATAATGTTGTGTTTTTCTTTAGGGGGGTCCAGATAATCATATTCTATAAAGTATATTCTACATTATAGTATATTTTATAGTATATATAGTATATTCTATAGAAATTGAATTTTTATGAATTTTTTTATGAACATAGTGTCTTTATTGTTTTAAGGACTGTAAAAGTTATTTCACACACTGGAAGAAAAATACCTGTGGACATTGGGTTATTTACAACTGTGATTTTAAGTTCAACATAGTTTGTGGTTTATCCAAATATATTAATGACTTCTAATTTTATTCCACTGTTGTCAGAGAACATTTACAGTGTGATTTCAAGCATTAACTTTTTTTTTTTAAAAAAAATTGAGGCTTGTTTTATGGTTCAGCATATGGTCTGTTTCAGAGAATTTTCCGTGTGTATTTATTAGGTGGAAGTTTCTATAGATATCTGCTATGTGTCCACTTGATTTATAGTATTTTCTCTTTCCTTGCGTATTCTGACTAGTTCTACATGTTATTAAAAATGGGAGGCTGGGCTGGAGCGATAGCACAGTGAGTAAGGCGTTTGCCTTGCACGCAGCCAACATGGCCCACACAGGTTCAATTCCCAGCATCCCATATGGTCCCCAGAGCACCGCCAGGAGCAATTCCTGAGTGCATGAACCAGGAGTAACCCCTGAGCATCGCTGGGTGTGACCCAAAAAAAAGAAAAAAAGGGGGGGGGGCTAAAGGCTCCTAATAAAAAGGTAAAGGCCCTCCCGTTGATCGTCGATTTGCTCGAGCGGGCCCAGTAACGTCTCCATTGGAGACTTTGTTGTTACTGTGTCTGGCATATCGAATACTCTCGGTAGCTTGCCGGGCTCTCCGAGAGGGGCGGAGGAATCGAACTCGGGTCGGCCATGTTGGCCGCGTGTAAGGCGAACGCCCTACCCGCTGTGCTATCGCTCCAGCCCTAATAGTATTTTTTAAATTTAATTTGATTTAATTTGATTTTAATGGGGGGGGCTCAAGGCTCCTATTAATATTTTTTAAATTAAATTTTATTTTAGGCACTATGGTTTACAATAATGTTAATGGTATGGCTTCTTGCATAAATCATTCCAACATCACACTCTCTATCGGAGTGTCATAAACCTACACCATTGTCTCAGCTTCTGTACTCCCTGGCATCCTATTCCCCACCCCAGCCCCCTGCCCCAGCTTCTTACTTTAGACTAATTCTTAGTTTCTGTTGCCCTTGGGCATTTGTTAGTCTCCTACTGTTTCTTTATATCCCACATATGAGAGAAATCAATGTGTCTGTCCCTTTCCTAACTTCATTCAACAAATCCATATGTGGCAGTAATTATATGATCTTTTTTTTTTTTTGAAAATCCGGGAGTATTCCATTGTTTATGTACACCATTGTTTCTTTATTCAATCATCTGTTCTTAGACACTGGGTTGTTTTCAGACTTTGCCTATTGTGAATACTGCCGCGATGACCATCAGAGCGCAGAAGTCTTTCTGAACAGAGTTTTTGGGTCCTGGGGTAGATGCCCAGAAGTAGAATTGCGGGTTCACATAGAGCCTTAATTCCTAGGTTTTTGAGGAGTGTCCAAATTGTTTTCCAAAATGACCTCTCCAGGGTTGATTATTGCTGTTTTCCTGAACTAATTTAATAAATCCCATCTTTTTTGCTGTGTTGGCTATGAATTCTGTGCTCAGTTAGCTGAGTGGTAGAAAATGATTAAAGAAAGATTTCTTAACTTCCTGGGACCATCAAATCTTTCTGTTTTCAAAAGGGGTTAACTCCTGTAAACCTAGCTGGGCCAGAGTCAGTGCAGTCTCCACCTCCTGCTGCACTGCCCTGGTTGGCCTGAGGTAAACAGGGGATCCAGGTGTCCTCTGCACATGCTAGTGGGCTGGGTGTGTGTGTGAGTGCATGTGTGCGTGTATGTGTGTGAGAGAGAGTGAGAGAGAGAGAGAGAGAGAGAGAGAGAGAGAGAGAGAGAGAGAGAGAGAGAGAGAGAGAGAGCGCATGTTTGCAGGCTTGTGCTGAAGCTTCACAAAGCCTTGTTCCCACTCGTGGAGATACCTCAGGAAGTTGACATTTCAAACCATTTCTGATTATTTTTCACACCTGGGGAACAAGCTGTTCAAAAGCAGACACACTCCCAAGAAAGCAAATAAGCAGGAGATCTTAAAGAAGGGGGCTTACAAGGACCTGTCAGAGGGGTCACATAATGGCTGTTTACTGAGAATGCACTTTTCTTAAAACATTGGGTGAATAGTTAAATATGTATTTTTGGAAGCCAGCTGTATTCCTTGCCATACCACTGAAGCAAAGTATACATATTCTTCATTCCATGAAGTAACATGAGCTTACAGTAGTGTAAATGGTTGTATGTTAGGGCTACAATATAATGACAGCACACCTACCACAAAAGTGCTAATATCCCCAACTAGGTGAACTTTTTGGGCACCCACTTACCCTATTTCTTTTGGTTTCGGGTTTGCTTTTGGCTCAGGGGCCATTCCTGGCAGTGCTCAGGACTTACTTCTGGCTTTGTGTTCAGGGGTCACTCCTGCTGGGGCTCAGAGGACCATCCGTGGTGCTGAGGATTGAACCCAGGTTGTTTGTGTGCAAGGTAAGTGCTTTCCCTGTTAAACTCTCCAACCATCCCCGCTTCTTTGGTGGTGCTGGGAACTGAGCTCAGGCCATGTCCATGCAGAGCACACGTTCTACCTCTAGAACACCCTGCCCAGCTGTGATGGTCTAGAGGAGCTCCAAGTCACTCCACTCTTCCAGACTGCTGGACTTCACCATGGCCATGGGGACTGTTCATTTCCAGGGCCCAGTGGACTGGGGTGAGAGGGATGAAAATGGAGCCAGTTGAAGTGTCACAGAATGTGCTGTTTTCATGGAGACACAACTATTTCCCATTACATCTTTCCAGGACTGTCACCAAGTCTCTGGCTAATTTCCTGCTGGCTCTCCTAGGTTTTAAGAAAGGAAAGGGTTTCACAGGGGCTCACGTTTTCCTCTGAGGCCCTCTCATGTGAATTTGCTGTTCGCAAAACTCTTCAAATTTGGCCACGTCACCAAATACATCAGGGGATGGGCTAATTTTCCTCTGTCTTTCGGAATGCCTGGGCAGAACGTGTATTTAAATGCTTAGTGAACCCCTGGGACCATGGGAGACCCTCAGTTTTTTTTAAGACGCTACATGAAACATGTACCTAGAAAAAGTGCCCCAAGTTTTGTGTACTGTCTGTGCTCAGGATCTGAAGAGGCTGCCTGTTTGGGTTTGTGCATTCTTATATTCTAGTCTTCAGAGTTTAGGGACTTTGTTTCATGGGACATCAAAAAACTGCTCTGAGTGAGATGCTTGAGCCAGTGTTCCTGGTGCCTTTACTGTGACAGAAGTGGAAGCAACCAGGGAAGGCAGCCAAGCCAGACACTGGGAAAGAGACCAAAGGAATCAGTCTCGTCACACAAGATGTTACAAGTCAGCTACCATTCATAGAAATTAAGTCTTTTCTACCTATAATCTGGACTGATAGCACAGCGGGTAGGGTATTTGCCTTGCACACAGCCAACCCGGGTTCGATTCCTCTGTCCCTTTCAGAGAGCCTGGCAAGCTACTGAGAGTACACCGCCCACACGGCAAGGCCTGGCAAGTTCCCTGTGGTATATTCAATATGCCAAAAACAGTAACGAGTCTCACAATGTAGACATTACTGGCACCCACTCAAGCAAATCGATGAACAACAAGAGGACAGTGCTACAGTGCTACCTATAATCAAGTGTGAGATATGTGAGACTTACGGACGGGCATATGGCTCTACTGAACTCTCAGCAAAGATTTTCTGGTTATCTAGCTGTGAAAGCTACTTCGTTTCAGATGCCTTTCAACGTCACTCCACGTTGGAAGCACACGTAACTCTCCTTTCATCTCATCTGCACCATGTTTCATATACACATGACAGGAGAGAAACAACGGCCTCAACTGACAGCTACAAGGGTCCCCATGATTAACCCTGTTAATCAGTTTCAAATGGGCAATCTGTGACCTTATTCTGGAGCAAGATGCTGGGATCTGCAATCAGACTCCATATGATTTGTTTTTGTAAGATATGTAAGCTAAAATTTTACATTCTTTTTTTTTTTTGCCTTTTGGGTCATAACCAGTGATACTCAGGGGTTACTCCTGGCTCTGAACTCAGAAATAACTCCTGGTGGTGTTGGGGGACCATATGGGATGCCAGGGATTGATCAAGCCTGGGTTGGCTGTGTGTGAGGCAAATGTCCTACCTGCTGTACTATTGCTCTGGGCCCCTCTCTTTTTATTTTGGTTTTGGGGCATCACCTGATTATTCTCAGGGCTTACTCCCAGCAGTGCATGAGGGACCATACGGGATGTTAAGGTCTGAACCTGGGTCAGCCATGTGCAAGACAAGTGTATCTCTCCATAACCCTCGCCCCTCTCTTCTTATTTAGGCAAGTATCTCTCTCTATACCCCCATTTTCTTATGTAAGGGGCAAACAATATGCAATCAAGACCCTACACAGCTTGCAAAGTCTAGTCTATTCCCACTGTGGTCCTTTATAGAAAGGACCTACTTTATTTGACCTACTGCACAAAGGATAATGGACTCAAACATCCAGTGATATCCAAGGAGAGAGAGGCCATACTCATGAGTGGACGAGAGAACCAAAGGGGACAAAATACTTGAAAGATTGTTAACTTTAATGCTCCAGGCATTTTAGACATTCATAAAATCACCTTGCACTTCAGAAGTTCATTTCTTCTAAAGCACCAATTATGTCCAGGATCAGAGACAAAGATATCACTGAGTTCTCTCCACAGCACCCCAGTGCTGGAGGAGTTCCATTGTCACCTGTCCTCTTCAGTACAGGCGCCCACCATGATCACTGCAAAGCCATTCCCTGCCAAGTCCCTGCATGTTAACTTCATGTTAACTTCACTGCCTCCTGCAGGTTGGACTCATCCCTTCCAGCTTTCTGAGACTCTCCAGACTGGTGGAGACTGAAGCACACTTAGCACACTTAGTACAGCATGCCAGGTACACGGAGACACTTCAGCGGTCTGGAGAAAACGGAGTATGTGCTGACCACAGGCATTCTCTGTGTAAGAAGGGGCTTTTCTCATGATTCATGGGTAACTTTGACACCCCTTCAGTGGGTCTATGAGTTCACATCTGTTTACATTTGTTGTCAAGGATTCCTGGACTGTTGGTGGGAGGGGAAGCATGCCTATGTTTCCAGATGCGATAATGAGAAGCAAAGAGAAGCTGCTTAGATAGTGCAGAAATACACGTCAACAGCGTCATTCTCTAACAAGTGCCTACCCTTTCCAAAGAAGCCAATTTAGAGCCCTCACCCTGGCTTGATTCTTTGAAGACAAGGCTTGTCCTTCCTTCCTGAGCAGATGTCTTGAAGCATGCTGAGGCCCGAGACTCCGACTTCACTCGACAGGGGCGGGAGGAAACATGCAGACTCCAGCATTAAAACAAACAAACAAACAAACCAAAAAATGAAGCTTGCCCGGTGATTTCCAGCAGATGGTCTGCATGAAGAACCTTGACACTGAAGGTTCTGGTGTCACCCTAATCTCACCTGTCCTCATCAAAAACCCCTGAGGTAGTCCATGGGTCAGGAAATGATCACTTCCACAGGATAAGAAACTAAGGCACGGAGAGACTAGCAGGCTCCTCTAATGCCATGCAGCCCAAAGACAGAGCCAAGTTGGGAACTGACACCCACAAATCCACAACACCCCCTGCAGCGATGGGCAATACAACATGGACCACACATAGAGAGCAGCTAGGGAGTGAGGGCTGAATGCCTGTGCCGAGGGCATCATGGAAGGGCCTGGGCCAGTTCTGTGCTGACCATCCCCCGTGCCATCCAACTGGAAACATGCACCCAACACAACACAATGAGAGGGATGACTTCCTTTCAAAGGTCTGACTGCTCACACCTGTCACTCATTTTCTTGGATTCGTGTTTCTCAGAAAATCTGCCAAGGTCCTAAGAATTCCGGTGCCTGGCTTCTGAGTCAGCACTGTGGGAGCCAAACAATTCTAGAATTGTATAGATTCGGCCTGGCCTATCACACAAACCTGTCTTTATGCAGAACCTGCCAAGAACCCAATTCCCCACATTTCTCCATAGCTGTGGGTTCCTGTTAAATGCCCACAAGTCCCCAAATGCCTTTTGACTGTACTGGGCCTCCAGGACCGACCCTGACCACACATCATTTCATTTTGCTCTTGATGCCAATTACACCTTCTCTATTCTGGGCACTCACTCACTAGGGCTTTTGTTCTAGAAAAGCATTTTTCCCATTCAGCCCGAGCCAAATGAGCCTTCCTCAACATCCCCTGACATCATGCCTTTACTCCCTATACCTAGACTGGCTAGTCAATAATTTTCGTTTTGTTCCCCAACCCCCTATGAAATCTGCAGAAGTTGTCTGGAAGAACTAAAGGGCCCAAAAGCTCCCCTGCGCCTGAAGGAAGCTCCCTCTGTCTCACAGGAAGATCCTTCGGCCAACCAGGAAGCACAGCCAGGAAGTAGGGTGTTGCCTTTTCCTTGACCCACACCAGAGGGTTGTTGTTGGTTTGTTTTAAAGTCAAAACAAACAAAAAGAGGGAAAGGAGCTTATAGAAAAAGTGCAGAGTTCAGACTGGAACACAGAGAACTGAGAGCCATATCTCAAAGCCCCACCCTCTCCACATCAGTAAGACAGCAAGACATCCTGTTTTCTCTCTCTCTCATGCTTATTGGATGCTCAGAGGCTGGAGGGGGGCTTTCTCACAGTGTCTGACACATGCAGGGAGCAGACCACGGGCAGCCTCTGTGGCCTCATGTCCAGCCCACCCCAGCACTTCTAGGTGCCTGGAGTAAGGTGACACACAAGGCCAAGGACCGTTGGTGCATGCTTGTCCCAATTCTCGCGGTGCTGCATTGTGTTGGGGTGGGGGCTGAGCCGGGAACACACCAGCAACTTCCAGAACGTTCTAACATCCCATCTGTGCCCCAGAACTGAAGGGTAACATGGGGTGGAGGTAGGGGGTAAGGCACTAAGGCTGCAGCGGGCAGAAGAAATATCAACTATTGGCGGCGGCGCAGTGGGCCACAAGCCTGGGGAGGCTGCTGTGGAAGTAGATCTGGTGCTGCTTAAAAGGATGGGGCAGCTCCATGGTCAGTCCCCTCCTCCCTCACCCAGAAGAATATTTTGTTCTATTTTGTTTTCCCCCCTTGAAGAAATTTGCCCCCGTTTTCAAATCTCAGTCGTTGTTGGCCCGTCTCCCCCACTCCTTGGGGAGGAAGCTGCCTTCTTTCTCTTCAAGTTCCCTGGCCCCCAAGCGCTGGGCCTCGCCCCACTCGCCCCTACAGGCAGACCCCCAGGGTTGCTTCTGCTGCAGAGGCACGTCACAGCTTGATGAAGGCAGCTGGAGGGATCGGCGGCTGCTCTTCCTCTGGAGGCAGGAAGACACTGGATATGGCTATGTCCACGATGCCCTGGCACAGTTCTGCATAAAGCTTCCTGAAACACATTTGAAAATCTGTATCACTTGGGATGTCCAACCGAGTTATAGGCCCCCAACCCCCAGCCCTGCTCACAGTGACACAGGGGAGGTCACGCTCTGGGTCCCTCCTGTGGTGCCCACTAACCACCCGATCAGATCAAGTGCCCCCATGCACAGAGGGGGTCAAGGGAATAACACAGCCACACACACATATATCCCCAAGGCGCCGCTCACTACTCCATCCTGCCTGCAGTGTACAGGGATCCAAAGACCAGGCCTGAAGATCTGGGCCCTGGAAGTGAGCGTGCCTCCCAGCTGGGATCCCAACTCTGAGTATGGTGTTTGGACTTACTGAGCACAAGCTGGGGCGCCATTGACCTCAATGAGCCAGACTTTCAGCTCCTCGTCCACCATGAAGTCAAAGCCGAAGAGCTGGAAGCTCTGGTATGGGAGGTACTTGGTGCTGATGGCAGGCTCCACACTCAGAAGGCAGCTTCTGTGGGTGGAAGGGGACAGCTCCCTAAGAACAGGCACATGGGACAAGGACTCGGCTCACATACTCAACAGAAATCAGCTGCCAGACCTGCGAGATGGGTCCAGTGGCACAGCACATGCCTACCAGGTATGAAGTCTGGAGTTCGATCCCCAGAACTGCCTGACTCCATCCCTACTTTCTTAGAAGTGGGGCCAGGGACCTCAAATCAGGCCAGAACTGGTCCCCTCTCCCGCCTGACACAGGGTGTGTGCTTGCTATTTTCTTGTTTGTTTGTGATCTTTTTTTTGGGGGGGGGGGCGTGGTGGTGTTTGGGTCACACCTGGCAATGTTCAGGAACTATATGGTATTGGGGACTTCACCTGGCCACTGGCATACGATACTTTTCAGCATATCAACTATCACTCTGCCCCTGGCCACTATCCAAAACAACTGCATTTGACTTCATTCTCTTTTACATTTATTACCAATAGATTATTTAAGCCCATCACTAAATTCGCTCAAGAGTTGGTAGCCACTCTTGGTCTTACTAGAAGAGGCTGCTTTTCCAGAATAGCAGCAATTCTCAAAATTCCTGAATCCCAGCCCTGATACCCAATTCTCAAACTCCCCGAATCCCATCCCTGATGCTAGAGTGTTGAGCACAGCCTCCCTAAGTCACAGAGGGTCTATGCAGCTGAGTCAAAAATCCTTTGTGTTGCGAGTGCAGAGAGGGTTATGAAAGGAAGCCAGCAGATGGATTCACTCATGATCCATGATCACTGTGAACCTATTCTTCATGAACCATATATGCCATTTGTTTTAAGAAGATCCCCCATCATTTTCCCCCCCTCAACTAACTGATGGGAGAAAATAGAGTTGTGTCCCTTTTGCTGTGGAAATATGCTCTGAGAAACATTGATAGGCAGTTCAGTCATTGTCTGAATGCCCCAGAGTATGAGTCCAAGAGGCTTGAGGATCCAGCCTACTGCCCATTTGGCTCCATGGAATGTTCTCTGGGGCCAGCCTGCACCGATCTATCTGCCACTGGCTGCAATGACAGCAAGGGGGAAGGGTGACTAATCTCCAAAAATGAAATAAGGCACAATGACATTAAGAGCATCAGAGGTGCCACCTTCTACACAGCTGCATGTTTAAAAGAGAGATGTGGGGAACGTCTCTCATGTACTCAACTACATGGGGTTGCCTTCTAAGAGAGATTTTGAACCAGGACTCTATTTTTGGGAGACCACACTCCGCAGTGCGTGGGGGCTGCTACCCACAGAGCTCCAAGGAACAGGTGTGCCCGGGACTGAATGTGGGCACCCACACATCACGCATCACGCGTGAGCTTCAGCCCTTCCAGCTACTTCCTCAGCACAACCAGACGCCTGCCTGTGGAGCACTGAGAACTCTGTACTTGAGATTGGGCATGTAATCCCAACCTCCCTCCCTCCTTCCTTCCCTTCCTCTCTTCCTCCCTTCCTAACTCCCTCCCTCCCTGTCTTTTTCAATACTGTTAATTATTTCACTTATCATGAATTTTTATTTCATTTTACATGATTTTTTCTTTCTTTTTACCATCTCCCACACCAAATTACTTTTCTAGGCACGTCAAAATGTTTAGAAATATCCATGTTCTATCTCTAGCACCCCATATAGTTCCTCAAGCCTGCCAGGAGTAATTCCTGAGCACAGAGCCAGGAGAAAGCTCTGAGAACAGAATGGGTGTGGTCCCAATATATTTTTTTAAAACTTTAGAAATAATCTGGAAAAGCAACTCCCTTAAGAACCAATTGGGGGTTGGAGAGATAGCACAGCGGGTAGGGCGTTTGCCTTGCACGTGGCCGACCCAGGTTCGATTCCTAGAATCCCATATGGTTCCCTGAGCACTACCAGGAGTAACTCCTGAGTACAGAGCCAGGAGTAACCCCTGTGCACCGCCAGGTGTGACCCAAAAAGCAAAAAAAAAAAAAAAAAAAAAAGAACCAATTGGAGGGACCAGAGAGACAGTCCAGGGTTAAGGCACTTGACTTGCACGCACAGACCCTGGTTTAATCCCCGAACACCAGAGTCAGGAGTAAAACCAGAGCACCAATATCCCAATTGATGGGTTTTGGTGGGCAGGTGGGATAGGGGCATATCCACCAGTGCTCTGGTTTTAGATGAATAGGTCTTCTCCTACTCATCTTTAAGCTACATTAGGCAGTCACCATTTATTTCCGTATCTTATTTCATTCTATGAGAGAATGCTCTAAACTTCTGTTTTAATTAGAATAGCTTTTAAAAATATTATCAGTTAAGTCAGGTATGCAATTGAGTGGTAAAGGGTCTACATTGCATGTGTGACATCCTAGGGGTCAAGCCTGTAAATTGCAACATTGAAAAAAATATATATTGTCTGAGGAATGTTTTAGAAGTTAATAGTTGGCAAAAAAAAAAAAAAAGAAAGGAGAAATGGGCAAAAAAAAAATAGTTGGCGAAACAGAAAAAGGAAAAACCCAACAATACCATGGAAGAAAAAATGAAAAAAGTATTCTGGGGTAGGGTGGGGGATGGGCACACCTGGTGAGTCTCAGGGGTTACTCCTGACTCTCAACCAGAAATTCTTCCTGGGAGGTGGGGGGTTCAGGGAACCAAACGGGATGTTGAGGATTGAATCCTGGTTGGCCACATGCAAGGCAAATGCTCTACCACTGTACTATCACTCTGACCCAGAAAGACTATATTTTAATCCATAGAAAAAAAACCCAGAACACACACACAAATTATTCTTTCTCTTCTCAAGATTAAAATTTGCGTTAAAGAACTTTTTTTTTTATGCAGTAAATTTTTTTTCAGCTCAAGTGGAAAGTTAGAGGGAGACTGGTGGGGGGTGGGAGTCCGTAACATAAGTGCCAAAAAAAGCATTTATAGGACATAAGTGACCATCCTCTCAACTGCACAGAAGAAAGAGGGGAGGGTGGGTAGAGAACAGAACATCAAGAAACTCTCCCACCCTAAATAGGAATTCTTTCTTCAACATACTGGACCCATTAGGCCAGGACCGATCCCTGAGCCCAGAGCCATGGATAAGACCCAAGCACTGCCAAATGAGGCCCAAACTCCCAACACTCTCAAAGAAAGAAATGCTGAAATCGATGGCGTGATCCGGAGGGATAGTAGAGCAGGCAGGGGCACTTGCCTTGCAGATCCCAGTTCAATCCCTGACGCCACATATAGTGCCCAAGTGCCACCAGGAGTGATCCCTGAGCACAAAGTCAGGAGTAGTCCCTGAGCACCACCAGCTATAGGTCCAAACCCCTCAAAACAAAACAAAAATAGAAAAAAATACCTCAACTATACAGTATCTATTAGAAACTCACTTTCCTAATAGAATAGGTGGCCAGAGAGATAGTACAGTGGGGAGGGCATCTGCTTCATATGTGGCCGACCTGGGTTCAATCCCCGGCACCCCATATGGTTGGTGTGACCCCAAAGTAACAACAATAATAATAATTAAAAAAAATAGAGTAAATTATAATACAGTAGATGTAAAGACTAGAAAGAGATATGATAGGGGCTGGAGTGATAGCATAGCGGGTAGGGTGTTTGCCTTGCACATGGTCAAACCGGATTAGATTCTAAGCACCCCATATGGTCCCCTGAGCACCGCCAGGAGTAATTCCTGGGTGCAGAGCCAGGAGTAACCCCTATACATCACTGGGTGTGACCCAAAAAGAAAAAAAAGAGAGATATGATAGACACTAATTAAAAGAAAGCTGTTTTGACTCTATTAATATTAAACAAAATAGAACTTAAAAAAAATAATGACAAAATGACAAAAATGACATAATTACAAAGTGGTCAATTCCCCTGGGAGAGAAATAACTCTACTGTATATGTACTTAATAATAACATATCTTCAAAATATTTGGAGTAAAACCAGATACAAGTAAGAAAAAAATAAAGACAAATACACAAGTATAGACCAATGCTCTTCTTCTCCATAATGGAAGGATTTAGCATAGGTTCAAGGTTTGCCTTGTATGCCACCCACTTTGGTGTGAGCCCTGGTACTTCATATGATTCTCCAAGCACAGTGGCAGAAGTATCTTCTGAAGACCATTGGGTAAGATCTGAATGCCCCACTCCCTGACAAAATTACGGTCAGACCATGGCTGAAAGATAGCTCAAAGGACTAAAGAGCTGGCTTTACCAGGAAAAACAAAGTCATGAAATTCACTTATAAATGGTTGGGCATGGAGAATATCATGCTGAGTGAAATGAGTCAGAAGGAGCAAGACGGATACAGAATGACTGCACTCATTTATGCTATATGAAAAGCCTCATATAGTATGAGGCTAATACCCAGGGACAATAGAAACAAGAGCCAGGAGGATTGGTACACAGTTGGAAGCCTGCCTCAAGTGCTGGGGGAGAAGGCAGTTGGGATGGAGACGGGATCACTGTTGACAATGAGAGTTGGAAATGATCAACTCTGGATAAGAGGTGCATGCTGAAAAGGAACAATCATAACCTTTTGGTACCTGTACAGCAACCATAATGCCCAAAAGAAGAGAGAAAGAAGTAAAGTACCTGCCATAGAGGCAGATTCGTGGGAGGTGGAGGTTGGGGGAAGGGAAACTGGAGACACTGGTGATGGGAAATGTACAGAGGGACAGGTGATAGAACATTGTATGACTGAAACCCGACGTGAACAGCTTTGTAACTACATGTATTTCATGGTGATTCTATAAAAATAAATAAATAAAGAGACAGCTTTGCATGCTGGAGCTCCGGTTCGATCCTCTATACCACGTGGTCCCTCTGCTGGATGTGGTACAAAAAGAAAAAAAAATGAAGAAAATAAAAACATAATCAACACCTTGTCATCAGAAGCATGCAAAAAATAAAGAGCATAAATCAAAGAAACTGAAAACAATAAAAGAAAGTAAAGCAAAAATGGACTTTTTGAAAATATTAATAAAACTAATTACACCTTAAAAATCTGTTCAAATAAAATAAATATAAAGAGAAAGACATAAATTGGCAGTATAAGAAGTGATATCATAGAACTTGTCCATATTTAAGAGAAAATAAAGCAATGTAACAGATAAATTTTATTCTTAGGTCTTTAAATAGAAAAACCTGAGAGGCACAATCTTCCAAAAGAGACAATGAAGTTACCTTATTATATGCTTGATTTGGAGTAAGATAGTACTCTCCAGTGTGACATTCAAAGTACTTGTTAGGTACCGATTGAACTCTTCAAAGAACATTTCGTTCCCTTCTTCATACTTGCCATAGTTTTTTGAGTACTCCTTTTGAATGCAGTGATTGGTCAAATGGCAGGTTTTATCCTGGAAATTATCAACATGATAGGGTTCTGAAGCAGTTCGAAGCACTCCCTCTCTGTAGAGGTAGATGTTATACTGATGATCCACCAAGACCCAGCTCCTGCAAGTCAATCAAACACTGGTTTACTCAAGGTATCCAAAGATTTCCTGCAACACACACATCATCTCCCCAGCCTTTGCTGGAAGGTGGCTGGTGCTAAAGTTACAGGAGCTAAGCCAAGATAGCAAAGGCTGGCCTCATAAATAAATCTTTTGGAAGAGAGCACAGAATGATACACTATAGAGATGCCTCCAGACTCCGTGCCAGGCTGTCTTATCCAGGTCAACCCAGAGGGGGATGGGTGAGTCCCCCTCCCTGCCCCTACAGAGCCCCAGTGGCTGAAATTCTCCAGGACTCAGTCGCTGCTGTGCTCCTGGTCGATGCCACAGGCTCAGACAAGACTCACCCATGAGTGAATCTGCTGAAAAACCCAGGTATGCAGGACTTGTGAGTGAAATCTCCAGGCTTGCACAGAGTCGGGAATGAGTGACCTCCCCCCATCTCTCTATGTTTCCAGTAGCCTGGGAGTCATGTCCAGGAACTGCCTCTGGCATCCTAGCCCTGTAAGCCGTCTCCCTAGCCTGGGTGGGTAGTTTTTAAAATTAATCTATGTTACCTCTGTGTTCTGTGTTTGCTCTCTTAATAATCTGAAGAAGAAGATTGCTCCTTAAAGCTAACCTGACCTAGGACTGGTGAAGCAGCAAGTCATTAGATGAGTCTCCTTGATGGCAAGGCCAAGGGTAATCTGCGGAGGAAGAGGGCTGTTGAGCTTTATTATCATTATTATTATTATTATTATTATCATCATTATTTGTTCTTTGGGTCACCTACCCAATGGTGCTCAGGGCTAATTTCTGGCTCTGCACTCAAAAATTACTCTTGTCGGTATTCAGGGGACCCTGTATGATGCTGGGATCAAACTCAGTTTGGTCATGTGCAAGGCAAATACCCTACCTGTTCAGGTCCCAAGGGCTGGTTAGCCTTAGAAAGCATCAGACAATTGTCTTCTCCATGCTAGACCTTTTGCTGAGAAAATTAAAACGAAAGAACCTGGGGAAGGAGCGATAGATAGTAGAGGGGGTAGGGCATTTGCCTTGCATACGGCCAACCCTGGTCCAATTCCCAGCATCCCATATGGTCTCCCGAGCACCACCAGGAGTAATTCCTGAGTGCAGAGCCTGGAGTAATCCTTGAGCATTGCTGGGTGTGACCCCCACCCCCACTCAAAAAAAAAAAGAACCTAATGGATGTTCATGAAATCCTTAAAGGAAGGAACATAAGTCATATAGTAAGGATATACTATTTGGTGGGGTGTCCTTGGGAAAGGGGGGGGGAAATCATGGTTTGATTCACATGTTATATGTATACCTTTTAGCTTCTTCCCTAAGTCACCCCTATGTATTCATATGATTTCCTTGGATCTCTAAATAATTTTTATTCAAGAGAACATGAAGATAGGAAATTAATACTCCTTTCCTGGTGCGGGAGGATGGGCTCAAATCCAGGGCATCACACATGCAAGGCAAGTATCTGACTGCTGAGCTATATCCCCAGTCTGAGATTTACAATCTTATTATTTTTCTACAAAGAGAAAAGAAAAATAGGCGGGGGGTGAAGGGTGGTAGAAACTGATCATACAGAGGGTAGGGTGTTTGCCTTGAACATGGCCAATCCAGGCTTGATCCCTTGGCAACCCTGAAGCACCACCAGCAGTGATTTCTAAGTGTAGAGCCAGGAGTAACCCCCAAGCATTGAGCTGGGTACAGCCCAACAAAACAACAAAACCCAAGAAATAAAAAAAGAAAGGAAACAATAAAAAATTTCCTATAGAAACTGAGTCCCATTCATCTATGCTCACATATCCTGGCTACATATTAAACACATGGAAACATCCCTCGCATTCCTTGCCAGCCCTCTCCTTACACACCCCTGCATTCTCTACAAGAAAAAAATCCAAGCTCTGGACAGATCATTACCGAATGTCGAACTTGCGGTGTCCGGGCTCGAGGAGCAGGGGGCGCTCGAGGTACTTCTGGATCACGTGCACCTGGCCCTGGTTGTCTATGAAATCCAGAAGTTCTGTAGCTTCCGAGGAGATGAGGATGCCCTCACCTGATAGGGCAGAATTGGAACAGTCAGTCTGGCTCCTCCCAAGAGAAAAAGCTCCGAACAACGACAGAAAATCAATGCCAACAGCAGGGAAATAGTGGCAAGGAGACTTGGTGGCTAGCTCTCTCCCTCCCTCCCTCCCTCCTTCCTTCCTTCCTTTCTCTCTTCCTTCCTCCCTTCCTCCTCTGCCCTGTCCTTCCTCCCTCCCTGCTCCCCCTTCCTCTCTCCCTCCCTCCCTCTCTCCTTCCCTTTCTGGGGAAGTAGTGGCACACCTCGAAGTACTCAGGGCTTACTCCTGGTTCCATAAGTGCTCAGGGCTCACTCCTGGTGGGACTTAGGGACCATATCTGGTACTGGGGATGGAACCTGGATCAGCCACATGCAAGACCAGCACCCTACTTGTTGTACCATCACTTTGGCCTCTACTTCCTCTTTTCTTTCTTCCTCCAGTCTCCCTCGACCTTCCCCAGAAGGGTCTAACTCCAACAGGATCTAACTCTTGCTCCATATAAGGCTAAAGTTATCTTTGCAGGCTCCAGCCATGCAACTTCATTTCTCCAGATTTTTACCAGGTAAGGCACTGTAAAAGGAAATGCCACTCTATAACTGCAGAGACTGCATCCTGCATGCTGCTGACAAACCTGTTTCCAACACTGTATCTCAGAGAGATGGTGGCAAGGCTGGGGTGTCCCAACAAATGAAGAAGGCCATTCCCTGCAAGACCCTGGATGTAAAGTGTCCATAAACCTGAAATAATTAGTAGTACTATCCTCCTTTAAATAACATTGATAGCTGTACGTACCATAAATCAATGGCTTTTAGTCAGTTCTGGAGTTTGACACAATCATTACTACAAGTTTTAAAATGTTTTACCATCACGGCCCCCCAAATCCTGTCCCGTTATCAGTTGACAGCACTTTCCTTTCTGTGTCTATAAAACTGCCTGTTCTAGATGTTTCCAATAAATAACTTCCTACAGCCTGCAACCTTTTTTGTATTTAGCTTATTTCCTTTATGATAATTCCATAGTTCTCTCATATCACAGCATCTGTCAGCAGTTCATTCCTTTCATGACTGGACAATACGATTACAGGGACACACTGCATTTTGTTCACCCATTTACCAATCAAAAAACATGGCACAGTTTTTTTTGTGACACAATCTACTTTGGTCTCCTGATTCTACCTAAACCTAACAGGGGTTCTCTGAATTACTGTGTTATCTACTTCTCCCAGTTCCCCGTTTGCCATCAGTACCATACCAGAAAACAACACTCGGGAGGAGGTCATAAGGGGAGAAAAGAGAAGTGGGTGAGGTACCTGGCTCATGGCAAGGGGCCAATCCTTCTCGTTTCTGGAGCTCCCAGGTGATGCCTTTATGTCTCATGGTTGGTGGGAAAGAGGGTGATGGGCCACTAGAGTGGGGAGAGGTACGAGTACTAATGGTCAGATGCCTTATAAGGCAACAAAAAAAGCTGGAAATGGTTTTTAAAAAGGGCATATTATGGCAGCTATAAAGAGGGGCTGGGCTTATGTGTTGATCATATTGAGAAATTCCCAATAATTTTAGCCTGAAATTGTATTATAAATCTAATCTTGTCCAGGGGCCAGAGAGATAGTACAGTGGGCAAGGCTCTTGCCTTGCATGCTGCCTAGTCAAGTTCAATCCCTCGCATCCCAAACTATCCCCCGAACCCAGCCAGGAGTGATTCCCTGAGTGCAGGAATAACTGCTGAGCATTGCTGGGTATGCCCCCCAAACAAAAACACAAGTCTAATTCTGTCCATTTATACAACATAGCTCTGCTATGTGCCTTTGTGTGAGGGAGTAAGGACACACACACACAACTAAACAAAGCAGAAGGTCTTTATAAAGGGAGCGAACATCGTGGTAAAGGAGATGGACAATCACCAGTGTTTGGTGCTCAGAAGGAGTTTGGTTTAACTGACGGATAATTCAAGGAAGAAGAGGTGAAAGCCAGAGTGAAGACTAGAAAGCCTTGTGCACAGAGGTCATATAAAACAAGAAGTGCCTTCTCCAACTAGGAAACTGTGCAGTGTGAGGGACACAGGGTAACCCGTGGAAGTGAGTCTCTGTGGGACACCAGAGTGTGAGCAGAAGAAGCGAGAAGTGAGTGAGGTTCGAAACCCGACAGGCACTCAGAGGTGCAGGCTCACATCCTGGGGACTCTGCGGCCGTCAAGGAGCAGCTTATTCTAACTGCTCAGGGAAGCCAGATGCTGGGCTGGGGTGGGAACTAGCAGGAGCAGACATCACTGAGTGAAAGGGGGAAGACAGGAGGGGCACAGCAGTTACACAGACTACAAAAAGGGGGCAGCTCTGATTTCAAGTGGAAGCAGGAGGAACAGCTGGAGAAAGTCTGACTCCGCCAGTACAGGGCCAACAGGGCTGGTCACGCTTAGGTTTCCAGAGCAGAGAAGAGGGTGACTGAGGAGGAACCCTGGGCTCAGGGCTCTTGAGTCAGGCTGCAGAGGAGCAGCAGGGACTAAGTAGGGTGCCTGCCAGAGAGGTTGCTAGGGTGGGCGGTACTGAGCAGCACATGAAGAGTTCTGTAGCAGTCAAGTCGGCGGGGAATTCCTCCTATTGCATCTGACCTCTGAAGGGAAGACGTCTGTGAGAGATCCAAAATTAGAAGCTCTGGGTACACTGAGATTTAAAAGGATGGCAGTAGCTCTGGATGCTCCCTCCAGGACTCAGAGTAGACCATCACCTTGTGTAAAGGCATCCCTGCACTCTAACCGACCATGAATAGAGCACAGCAGGCATCTCCAGGGAAGGAGGCTGGTGGTCCCAACTCACCTTTGGCACCTGCTGACGACTTTGCAATCCAAACGTTGCCTTCCCCCTTGTCCTTCTTTTTGTTGTAAGAAGCCAAGAAGAATTCCCTTTCGTCTGTCCTTGTGTTATTGACGGGGAGGTGGATTCCGTTCTGTGCCGGAGCGACTGGGGTATTGAGATTGGTTGGATAAATCACATAGGACTCCGGGAACCACGTGCTTGACTCAGCCAGTTCCGGGCTTGTCTTGATTAGTCTGACAGATGACAGTGGGGGAACCCTTCTTAGTCCACTTCAAAAATCATGTGTCACCCCTCCCCCCCCCCAGCCCCTGCCCATGCTCTTCCTGGGTATGGAGTATGGCTGGAGTGTGAAGCTGGTCTCCTTAACCCCCGGTCTGTCATTAGCCTCCTGGCCAGAGACTGAATCACTCTGTAGCACATCACTAAGACCTGTCAGACTCTAATTCATTCCAAAGTGGGGGCAATGTCCTGCATGTCAAGCACCTACAAAAATGCATCTCTGAGGAAATAACCCGAAAGAATCCTCAAAGGACACTGTTCCAGCAAATACACACTGAGTCTTAGGTAAACACATACTAAGCACATCCAAAATAAGAGAGAACTGAACAATCTGGGTTATTTGTAAAAATCATACCTTCCCGGGCTTTCTAGTGAGAAAAGAAAATTACCTGGGAACTTGGATTATTGAGATTTAGTTTAGCTCTTCCTTTCTTGCTTTGAGCATGGCCTGGCTTCACAGAAAGGGAAAAGGGAAAGCTCAAAGCACCTCCACCAGCCCACAAAGCATCACACAGCGCAGGAGGAAACCAGGCTGAGCAAGGAGTTCCAGGTCAAGTTTCACCCCCTTTCTCAGTTCATCCTGAGCTGGGACACCAGCAACAAGACTTCAGGGATCAGGATCAGGCCATGGGGAGTAAATTTCCCAAGATCCCCATGACAGTAACAAAGAGCCAGAATGGAAGGACTCAACTCCCAAGTCCAAACTCTCCGTTGGCCCTTACAACCCAGGAACGAGAGCGGGACATGGGTGCTAGTCTTGGCTAAGCTATGCTTCTTCCTTCAGAGAACAATCAATATTCAATGGTATCAGATTCATCTAAAAGAATCGGTATATGAGCAAACGTCAAAAACAAAAAATAATTTGTTAAGCTGTCATATTATACTGGCGGAGCCTGGCAAACTCCCCAAGGCGTATTCAAGATGCCAAAAAACAGTAAAAATAACAGGCCTCATTCCCCTGACCCTGCAAGAGCCCCCAATATGCCATTGGGCTACACTAGCACACAACAGGGACGAATGGAGTCATTACTGGCAAATCGATGATCGACGGGATGACAAATGACAGGTGACAAGTTATATTATAGTTAAAGGCAACGTAATTGGAAAGTTATTTGAAAAAAAAAAAGAGAAAACTAGAAGCCAGAGAGATATGACAGGGAATATAATAAGGCATTCTGCTTACCCAAGCTAAAATTTCTAGCACTGCATTTAGTCCCCCAAACTCCTAGAGATGGGACACCTGAGCACACAGCCAAGAGCAAGTCTTGGCTTTCGAGTGTGGCCCAAAACACTGCCCCCCACAAAAAAAAAATCCCCAAAATTAGAATAAAATTAAGTTTCTAACTCACTGAATATTCAACTCTGCATAGTCTGATATGTGGTTGCCAGTCACATGGTTTTAAAGCCCTTGAAACATGGTCCGCACGGCCCTGGAAGGCAACTTTAGGTTCTGCTTAATTTTCACATTAAAATGGAAGCATCACAAAGTGTTTCCACTAAGCACGGCTTCCTTGTTTTGGTAGGAAGACATTTCCCTTTACCAACTGTATGGCCTAAGAGGCTTTGGCTACGCCGCAGCTTCTCTGTCAGGTCCATGAGCTGTTCTAACATTGCTCAGAGACGACAGACTGAGTTAGCTCAAGTAATTCTCTCCCCTATGCAGTGATGAAACATTATAATGTGTTAATTACACAGCAAGCACAAGTTATAGCAACAGCTAAGCAAGTCCTAACCAGTAACTAAAGTGCAATATGTAGTCCTTCTAAGTAGAAAATAGCACTGTAGCACTGTCCTCCCATTGTTCATTACTTTGTTCGAGTGGGCACCAGTAACGTCTCACAACTTGTCGTTACTGTTTTTGGTATATCGAACACGCCACGGGGAGCTTGCCAGACTCTCCCTGTGCGCGGGATACTCTCGGTAGCTTGCCGGGCTCTCCAAGGAGCGGAGGAATAGAACCCAGGACAGTCACGTGCAAGGCCCTACCTGCTATGCTATCACTCCTGCCCAAGTAGAAAACGGTATGACAAAATTTAAAATAAGGACATTACTACAGAGGCAGAAATGAAAAGCTGAGTTCTAGGAGAAGCTAGACCTTGACCATAAGAGTGAGGAAAAATAAAAACAGGAAGATCTGTCACTGATTTCATAATGAAAGGCAACTGTGGTTTGTTGTCACAAATTAGCAGGAAAAATCAGTTTACTCGTCTTATAAAGAAAACATTTCAGAAAATGCATAATGAACTTCTCAAGTAATTTCCTCTCAACAGTGGAAAATTAATAAAATTAGGACTACAGACTGAAGAGACAGTCCAGTGGACAGGGCATTTGTCTTGCATGCACTCAAACCAGGTTCGATCATTGGCACCCCAAAGGGTCCTCCAATCCCACCCAGGAGTGATCACTGAACCCAGAACCAGGAAGAAGCCTTGAGCACTGCCAAGTGTGGCCCAAAAGCAAAAACCAAAAATAAAAGTGAAAAAAGAAATCAGTATCTGATATACTGACTGCCAATCCATTTTTTTTCCTTTTCTTTTCTTGGGGGTGGGGGGGAGGCATTTGAGCGGAGACAGGCCTTCCCAGCTGTGCCTGGAAGCTGAGGGGTCACTGCAGGTACTTCAGGCCTGGTGGTACCTGGCCTGAAGCCAAGGGGCTCAGGCCCAATGATATGAATTTCTCAAGCCTAGTAGCACTGGGGCCAGAGGCCACCCAAGGAGGAGCACAGGGGCCAGGCAGTACAGGCAGTATCAGGGCTAACCACACAGTGCTCTAACCCTCTGAGCAATCTCTCCAGCCACACTAACAAAAATTCATGAACAAAATTTTAGTAGCATCTGAGCCTGTCGTGCTTCCTTCCATTCTTGCACACAAAAAGGGAATCAATTAGATGGAAATATGACGAAGGAATTATTTTGAGGAAAAGACTAAAAAATGTACCAAAAAAAAAAGCGCAAACTTGTCACGAACTGCTCACTAAGCACTTCCTAAGAGTATCAAAGATGAATTCAAATTTTTTTAAAAAATGTCATTTGTGGGGCTGGAGTGATAGCACAGCGGGTAGGGCGTTTGCCTTGCACGGGGCCGACCTGGGTTCGAATCCCATTTGGTCCCCTGAGCACCGCCAGGAGTAATTCCTGAGAGCAAAGCCAGGAGTAACCCATGAGCATCACTGGGTGTGATCCAAAAAGAAAAAAAAAAAGTCATTTGTTACATTACACCATTTGAAACATATTGAAAAAAAAAAAAAAGACTGTGCAGTTTCCTGAAACCTTGTCTGAATTCTACCAGTTGGTCAAATGGTTTAGTATTTATTTGCAAATACTACAATGACTTGCAGATTCTTGGGAAAAAAAAGAAATCTTGGGACGGAACTGGAGCGATAGCACAGTGGGTAGGGCATTTGCCTTGCATGTGGCCGACCCCGGTTAGATTCCCAGCATCCCTGAGCACCGCCAGTAGTAATTCCTGAGTGCTTGAGCCAGAAGTAACCCCTGTGCATCACTGGGTGTTACCCAAAATGAAAAAAAAAACCCCAAAAAAACCATATTGTAATTCTACTACCGAAACTACAATTTTAAAAAAAGTCCAATGAATGATATGATACTGTGTCTCTGAAAATGGTCAGTGATTGACAGAAGTTTATTAGAAAGCTTTACTGAAGGGAAAAATCCAACTTAAGTTAAAAGGATATTACCTAATTATTTTGACTCAATGATCATTAGTTCAATAATCAAAAATATTAAAAATAGCATTCTGATTTATATTTTCTCACAGATAGCCACACTTCGTAAGAGGAAGTTAAAGTTCCAAGGAAAGGGAAAAAAGACCTAGTGAGGGAGTATGAGTTTTTGTGTTCCAATTCATAACACAATAATGATTTTACCTATTTTTGTGATATGACTCAATCTGCTGAAGATTTAAATAGCAATAGACTGCATTATGCAAATTGGCGAGAAAAGCACTTTTTAAAAAAACATTGCTGATCATTTTTAATTTAGTTTCTTTCCAACTAATTCAATACTTCCTTTGAATAAATGAAAGTTGAAGCAAGAGATGATAAATGTCTTTAACTTGGACAGTTTTGAAAATGATATGCCTTTGCTTCAAAGCCACATCAATTTCTTTTTGAATAAAATAAAAATATTTGTCAATATGCAAGTGATTTGGGGGGTGCAGGGTTGGGCCACACTTATCTGTATTATTGCTCTGCCCCAACCCCATGCACATGATTTTAATAAAAATTGGTTTTGGTATTTATTACTTACTATTATTATTATTATTATTATTATTTGGTTTTTTGGGTCACACCCGGCGATGCACAGGAGTTACTCTTGGTTCATGCACTCAGGAATCACTCCTGGCGGTGCTCAGGGGACCATATGGGATGCTGGGAATCGAACCCGGGGCGGCCGCATACAAGGCAAACGCCCTACCTGCTGTGCTATTGCTCCAGTCCCTGGTTTTGGTATTTAATTTAGTTACTGAACAACTTTTATGAATATGGAAACAAATATGGGAAGGTAAATCTGCTTTTAACATAAATTGTGTTTGTTTTTGCGCCACACCTGGTGGTGCTTGGGATTTACTCCTGGCTCTGTGCTCAGAGATCACGCCTGGCTGGGGATCCTTTGGGGTTCCTGGGGTCAAACCCAGGTAGGCCACATGCAAGATAAGCATCTGACCCGCTGCACTCTCTCTCTAGCCCCTCCCTCCACCATACATTTTTATGAAATCTAAATACAGATCAAGGATATCAGGTGAAAATTAGTTGTCTGAATTAGAATGAGCTGCAAATGTGAAATACACATGATTTTGAAGAGTCGGAATTCAATAAGTAATATAAAAATATCTTATTGATTTTATGCTAGTTATAGTCAAACTGATGCTTTTGATTTATTTGGTTAGATAACATATTAAAATAAAATTGGGCTAGTTAATTTTGGAAATAGCTTAT